CACCACAACGAGCAAAAATCGGATAAAACAAGTTTGTTTTATGCTTTACGTTGTGCACTTATGCCCTGGCACTGTTGATATGGTCTGCCCTGCCGAATTGGAGGTGCACAACTGACCACAACGAGCAAAAATCGGATAAAACAAGTTTGTTTTATGCTTTACGTTGTGCACTTATGCCCTGGCACTGTTGATATGGTCCGCCCTGCCGAATTGGAGGTGCACAACTGTAAAGACAACGCCCTAAAACCACTCAAATTGTACGAATTACACCTAATTTGCATCATTTACACCCATACTCCATCACTACCTCTCCAATTGATGGTTGGTGCACCTCACAAGAACCCACTCTCACCACCACTCATGCAAATATCACCCTCGAGTGCTTCAGCAGCACCTTACGTTAGACCAGCCAATTAGCGCTCGTAGAACACTCCATTTTAGCCAATCTATATGCGTATACAACGATTAGATACTGTCACCACTAGCACTCTGGATTTCTCAAGAGCACCATCAACACCTCCATTCGAAGCACTCTACGCACAGCCTTCTCTACCATGACTCGCGCCAAGATCAACTGAGTTTTTCTGGCTAAAGACTACTCGTCCTACGATACCGACATACTCCTGGACTCGCTCAAGGCTTACACCGTGAGCAAGAGCGGACTGTCGCCTTGCTCGCTGTGTGCTGAGCCTACGCCGCATAACATGGGCACAAGAAGTTTGCTCTGCAAGAGCACGGCCTGCAAGGCCGTGGCGCCCTACACGCGCTGTACGTGGAAGGGCAGAGTGCAGCTTTGCATTTTGTCCAACGTAGTGAACGTCTCGGAGGGCAACAAGCACGTGTCGCCGCTGCGCCCAACTCGACGCGCTCATCTCACCGAGAAAATGAAGGCGTTTGCGCGCGACATGTGCGCCTACAACCACAAGCCTATGAATATGTACAATGGAATCGTCATACGCTTCCAGGTTGGAGAGGCAACAATGCCCACATTGGCGATGGTACAGCGATTCGTACAGCACTTCCGCCGCACTAATCTGGGCGAAAGCGACTTCCACGACGACGTCACCGCTAAAGTGCGCGAGCACGCATTTCGAGGAACCGAGGAGTTGTCGCAGCAATTTCACGTTCACGTGGCGATCAAACGCCGAGG